AGAATTCCCACAGACATTTTGCCAAGAATAATGTGTTTGCTGTCTCCCATCCCATCACCAAATCTCCCTGTATTTTCTTCCTAACACACTTAAATTTAGTGTCCTAAATCTGTTCATTTTTATTCAGAAATAAGTTTCATCCAACTGGCCAGGGTGAATTCAACTCCTTGCATGCCTCTTTCCTCCACTCTCAGCTCTCGTGTGGGTCAGAAAACCTTTCTTCAGCAGAGTGCCTATTAACAGTAGTTGGAGAAAGAGCTCAATTGTGCTGTGAAACTCCTCAAGGCAAGAAAATGTGTGCAAAAAGCAATGTAGCTCATTTTTTGGTTCACTGTGGTTAATAGTCCTTGTAAAGAAGGTTTTTTTTAACGTGTTTCCATCAGTATTTTAATTTTCAGTTATTGGATTGCATTTTTTATTTGCATAAAGACACACCCATTTTTTTTAATGGTGTAGGAAATTAAATATTAAGGGAGACTTTATACCTCATTACCTGGAAATAATGGGGCTTATTCGGAGCACATAATCAGATAAGAATTTGAACAGTTACAGGACAACAAGTGAAAAACAGGGTTAAGATTTTTCTGCCTACTGGCAGTTGGTGCCATGAAACCTTGAGAAAATCTTTCTCAATGAAACTTTTAGTTGTTGTTTGACCAATATGTGGGATCCGCGGTGCTCTCTGAGCTTCATTACCAAACTAGGTAATATCATCAATACTGCAAAGGAGAGGGGTTGGCTCTTATTTTTATATACTAGTGACTTGCTCTGTTATCATTGATGGGACTGCTCCTTGATTAGGCGATTGTTCAAGGAACCGCCAAGAACACTCCCCAAAAGCTGCCAAAATACAAAAATAAGAGTGAACCCCTCTCCCTTCTAGATGATGTTACCAATTGTTGAAAGAAAAGTCTTCATCGTAGTTCAGTCCAAGCTGGGAATAAACAACATGGTGACTGCTTTAGAAAGAAGGTTGCAGTTTATTTAGAGCCAGATAGGAAGATGGCTCTGGAAGAAAAAGAGAGCGAGCACATGTAGGGAGTGGGGTTTTATACCCTCTGTAGCCTTTTGTTTGGAGTTGTTCCTGTGGCATGAACTTTGACCTGAGTCTGAGTGTGCCTTTCTGGTATTCTGATGTTGGTGTATTAATCCTATTATGTCCCAAGGGTCATATCCTGCTTCCCTGGGGCTGTGGCTGATGACTCTTAGATTTTTGGTGTTGATTCTAGGGATCTTTCTTCCTAATCCCAGTTTCCTGATTCCAGTCTTTCTGACAAGATTATCACATCTGCAATTCTGTAGATTTGGTTTCTGTTTGGGACAGAAATACTTTTAAATATTTGCAAAAATATTTCTTTCTCTGGGGGGGGGCTGACTTCCCTCACTAGTTTGGTAATGAAATGTCTGCAAAAAAAAGCACGAAGCTCTGACAGTCCCAGGGACCCCACAGTTCAACCCTGAACTACAAATAGTGTCTTCTGGCAGGACTTGGTATTTATAGAGAGGGGGGGGGAATGCCCAGGGATGCAGCTTCCCAGATGCCGATGCCTAGGGATGCTGATTAAAGTGATCAGCGTAGTTGTTATTCTGCTGGACTCTATGACAGACAATTTTTAAAAGGTGAATTTAGGTCAAGGAAGTTTAATGCATTTGCTCTTGTTAGAATCCTGAATAGTAATGCCTGGGGGTGGGAATTCTGAGATATCATAAATGAGTTGTGAAATGAAGTGAGGCCTGGATTTTTCGGAAAAAGGCAAAACTATCCCTTCAGGAGAAATAGGTCTGAGAAATCCCTTTCAAGTAGAAATGTTATTTTTCCCAGAATAATTGATCTGCTGAAATACTGAGTCAAGTTACAAATTGCTTGACACGCGTAAGAAAGCATTGGATGAAATATTTAGTTTTGCTTTGATATTAATCACAATTGATGTACAAATCCAGGCTATGTTTAGTATCTTTTAGATCAGGCAGGCACATTGCTGGATTGTTATCTAGACACATTCCTAATAAAACATCTTGGCAGACAACAGTGGAATAGAGTTTGAAACGACAATGTCATGGCTTGGAATATGTGTGTTCTGCTAAAGCAAGCACAACTTAAGAAACCTCTCTTTTCTTTAAGAAATCTCAGGGATAAAGATGCAAGTTATTGTGGACAATTGATTAACAATCCCTGCATTGGTTAATAATCAATGGCACGCAGCCCAAAATAATAGCAGGATCAATTTTGTATTGGAAACACAGCTGCCATCCGACTTCACCACAATACATGCCAGGCATCTCCAGACTTGGAAGCTTTAAGACTTGTGGATTATAACTCCCAGAATTCCATGCTGGCAGGGGAATTCTGGGAGTTAAAGTCCAGAAGTCTTAAAAGTTGCCAAGTTTGGAGACCCCTGATATATGCCAACAGAGACATAATTGCAGAATCTCAGACTTCTCCCTATATATTTAGTCTCCCCAAGTTGTAGTCTGGATGCTTGTGCTGTGACTTTTTAAAAAAAATTACTTTGATGTGTTTATTTATTTATAATCCATACTCTGATACAATGATAAACCGTTTCAAACCAGGGCAAAACTGCTCTAGAGGGGAAGTGAATTTGCAATGTAATCTATAACTTATGAAGCTCCAAGTGGTTTGGCACAAGGATACAAGAATGCCCAGAGCTACTGGAAGTTGGGTGGTATAGACATTTAATATATTATATTTATATGCCACTCATCTCATCATTACAGCAACTCTGGGTGACTTACAGCATAATAGAAAAAGAATACAAAACCATTAAAAACTAAGAAAAATCAAAGACTAAGAACAAGAGGATAGGCGACATAGGGGTGTCAGAGTATGCACAATCTTATTGCGCTGAGGTAACCCAGGAGTAAATATAGTAAACAGTGGTCTGTATTAAATGGTGGTTTATATTACAGTATTTACAATATACACTAGGAACAAAATGCATACACATAATACAGCAAACTAACATACAGCAGTTACAGCAGGAAACAGACAAGAGAGAACACAGCAGCAAAAGCCTTCCCTTTTCTACTCAGACTCTTAAAGGGACACAGACATCTGCTGAGTCATTCCTATCATTGCATCATCCACCTTACATTACATCAGCTGGTTAGCCTTTAAATCATTATCCTGACATAGAGGTGGAGATGGTCTCTCTTATCCAGTCAGCCACCCTCAGCATAGAAGCCTGTATCAAGACTTCAAGCCAGCCAGCAGAGCCAGGTTTTCAGGCTCTTCTGGAAAGCCAGGACTCATCTCTGGCCAGAGAATATTCCAAAGGACAGGGACCATAGCAAAAAAACAAAAACAAAAACCTCATCATCCAGACTCTACCAGCTGAATTTTTTGGGCAGACGAGATCCAAAGTAGACCCTCTTCTGCTGGAACAAATGGGACAGGCCAGTCCAATTGGGATGAAAAAGCTCCTCAGATTATTAGTATTATTAGGGTTCTTTGCACAGTCAGGAGATGTGGATGCTTGATGGTGTTAAAGGTATCATCACAGGATGTAAGCTGTTCCAAAGTAAAGCTGCCTTTTGCAATTGCCTAATAGATTATCATGGTTCGTTGCATAGTTAGCCAGATGTTTAGACTGGATTTGGCATTTTTCTCCACCTACCAAGTCCTTCCTAAGAACCTCGGATAGGCAGATATTGACGTTTGACGGTGTTAGAGGTATCGTCTCAGGATGTAAGCTGTTCCGAGTAAAGTTGCCTTTTGCAATTGACTGATGGTGAATTTCTCAATTGCCTTTTGCAATTGACTGATGGTGAATTTGTCAGTGCCGATGGACAAATTCAATGGTGCTCCAATTGTTCTGGGATTGCACCCTAGGCACCTATTACCCCTGTTTTCATGTCCTATTTCTGTTATTAATATTATTATTCCTACAGGATTGCACCTTCAACCAGCATAACAGGATCTGTCCAATAAGACCAGTTTGGGGAAAACTTTTGGTGGTTCCCCCACTACTAAGAGATTATAGGGGCAAGGCCAGAGGATGCCTCTCCGTTGTGGCCCCTTGTTATAAAATACTTTATCACCAGATATCAGGCTTGCTCCAATCTTCTTGGTCTTTCAAAAGCAAGCTAAACCCGAGCTGTTCCAGTAATTCTTTTAAATGCTTAAGATAACACTGTAGAACTGTTTATGTGCTCTCGTTTTAAGATAAAACGAGAGCACATCAACATCTGTTAGATGACTATAACAAATTCCATAATTATAGGATAATTATTTCTATTGCACTATTTTATTATGGATGTTTTCCCTTGTAAATAGCTGAGAGTCATAAGATTGTGGCAGTGGATATACCTAATAAGTAAAATAAATCTCACTGGCGCTAGCCAATCAATGGCATGTACTTAGGGAACATTTAACACTACTTATTACTGAATTAAATCATTGGTTTTTGGCTCAATATTATCTAGGCTGACTGGCAGCAGCTCATTTGCTTTTAAATATAGGTTTTTCCAGCCTTAGAAATATTTCACATTCAGCCTGGAATCTTTTCATGTTGTTTACTACTCAATAGCATCCTTTTCCCATCTATATGATGCAAACTTGCAGAGATCTTGACTCAGAGAGGAAAACATTATGTGTGAGCTTAATTAACATTTAACACTGGAGAGAAACAACACATGTTTTGACTACTACAAAAGAAAAAAAAAACCACAGACCGGATGGTGGTTTAGAGCAAGAATAACAGAAAACTGAGGGGGAAAAAAATTAAACTTCCCTCCCTCCCTCCCTCCCCCCTTCCACTCCAAGTTCTCTTCTTCAAAATGGCATTTTTAGTAGAAAAAGCAGTTTCTAATAAATAGGGAAGGAGGGAGATTGATGCCCCCAAAGATGCATTGTGAGTGTGATATGAAAGTAATGGGTTTATTTGCATGTGTAAAATTAAAAACATGTAGCAACAGGGACCATGTCGAGATTGGCTTGAAGCATATACAACTTCTTCTGAATGTTTTCCTTGTTCTTACAGTGGTGATTCTTTATATCCAAGAAACTGCAGACAAAGAATGGCGAGAGGTGAGCTATTGCATTCCCCTCCCTAACGTGGATGCATGTGTTTTATCCAGTGGTTGGCCAAACCTTTCTGGCATATTTCAATAGTATCTTATTGATAGACTCCTGGGTTCTGATTGGGTGGATCCTTGCCAGACCCTCTCTAACAAGGACCTCTCTATGGTCTAGTAATCTTCCTTCCAAGCCACTTGGCAATTCTTCCCCATTGCCCACAATGTTTAGGACAGGGGTAGGCAACCTGGGATCTTTTATGACTCGTGGACTTCAACTCCCAGAATTCCTGAGCCAGCATGGCTCAGCTTGGAAACCTCTCCCTTTCCCCTCAGCATGGCTGGCTCAGGAATTCTGGGAGTTGAAGTCCACCAGTCATAGAAGAGCCAAGATTGCCTACCCTGGTTTAGGAGGTTCTAGGTTTAAAACCTGGAGATTTGGTTTCATTATTAAACACACACACACACACACACACACACACACACACACACACACAGTCAGTGTCAGAAAATTTTGCATACCATCAATTGCTGCAACCTAAACGAGCAAGTCAAGCACCAAAGGCAGGGTATCTACCGTTTGAAGCTGGGTGGGAAAATATAAACACAACAGCCCAAAGCCGTTTGACAGAACTGCTGATTTTAAATTGTTCAACTGAAGTGGGAGATGAGGCCAACCTGCCTTCTTTGCCATCAGATAAATAATTCTTTTTTTACAGCTTTGCCTAGCAGATGATTTCCTTGGCTCCTAACAGATAAATACGTTCCCAGCTAACAGGAGCAGATATCTCTTCTACAAATCATAGCCTTGCTCTCTGTGGGCCACAAGTGGCCACAGTCTCATCAAAAGCCTTATCATCCCTGCCTCAGTTATTACAGAGTCTTCCAGGACATGTGTCCTCTTCCTGTCTCTTCTCTGGTGATTAATGTTCTGGGCCTTAATCCTTGGTTTAGGAGGATGGGGAAGGAAACCGGTCAACCTTCGGTGCAACCAGAAATGAGAAATGGCCCCTGGTGTGAGGCAAAGGAAGCCAACTGAATCCTATTTGAGCACAGGAGATGGGATAGGATGCTCCACTGGAGCTGAAGGCCAGCATCTAGCCATCCCTCTCCATTTCTCAGCCTCTTCGACTGTGGCAGATGATTGTCTAACTATGGGGTTTACCTAGCCCAGTGTTTCCCAAACTTGACAATTTTAAGGCATGTGGACTTCAACTCCCAGAATTCCACAGCCAGCATTGCTGGCTGTGGAATTCTGGGAGTTGAAGTCCACATGCCTTAAAATTGTCAAGTTTGGGAAACACAGACCTAGCCTGTAGATGTGGGGGAGGGGGAATGGATAAGGAGCTGTTTCCTTATTAACCACCTGGCTTTGCCTTTCTACTCCCCAGTTTGGCCGCACAGAGGTGATTGATAACACACTGAACCCTGACTTTGTTCGCAAGTTTGTACTTGACTATTATTTTGAGGAAAAGCAGAACCTGCGTTTTGATATGTGAGTTGCTTCTGCTCCTTTCTCCCATAATCTCCCCCTTCCTTAGTTTTCTTTTATTTTTTCATGGCTTGTGTGTTTTACAGACAGACTTTGTTGCTCCTGTCTCTGGCAGCATCTAAATTTTGGGAAGCGCCAAATGCTAATGTATTTTTCTTATGTTTTTTCCAGTTACAATGTGGATTCCAAGACGTGCAACCTGCCCAAGAGTGTGAGTATGGTGGCTGCTTGTCCTACACTCAAACCAGACATTCATGGGGAAATTTTCTGTATTGTACATCCACGCGGGGTGGGTGGGTGTTCAGTTGGGATCTAAATTAACTAATTAGTGGAAATTAAGGAAGAAAGTAAACAGTAGGGAGTTGGACTAGATGACCTCCAAGGTCCCTTCCAACTTTATTATTGGTATTATTATTATTATAGTAGTTGTAAAAAGGAAGAGAAGAATTGTGTTGTCTTTTAAAAACATATTCATTAAACAGACAACTGGCATGTGCTTCTAGAACAGTGATTGCAAATTGAACACACACACACACACACACACACACACACACACACACACATGCAAATACATCTTGTAACTCACCAACTGTCAGGCACAAGCAAACAGTTCCAGAAAGGTACAAGTTGACTACTTTATTGTGCTCCACCTATAGTACAAGAATACAATACAATAATACAATAACAGAGTTGGAAGGGACCTTGGAGGTCATCTAGTCCAACCCCCTGCTCAGGCAGGAAACCCTATTCCATTTCAGACGAATGGCTGTCCAGTCTCTTCTTAAAAACTTCCAGTGTTGGAGCTTCACAACTTCTGGAGGCAGGTTGTTCCACTGGTTAATTGCTCTAACTGTCAGGAAATTTCTTCTTAGTTCTAGATTGCTTCTCCCCAGATTGCTTGCCTTCCCTTGGGAAGAAACAGCTCTATGTGCTCAGCACTAAGTCTCTTGAGGCTGCACAAAGACTCAAGGCTAGTTCCCTGCTTGACCTCCTTGCCTAGCTGGCTGTTTCCCAACACCAACAAAGTTCAGCTATTCTGATGTTAAATTTCAACAATATAAGTTCTGATCTGCCTTTTTAAAAACAGTTTGATGTGGTTTTAAGGTTAAACATGGAGCAGTTCTTCATCCATCTCCCTCCTGCTCCCATGCCCATCCTTAACCTTCCCAAACTAAAAACTGTGCTATCAAGTTTTGGCCATGCCCTTTCTGGTGATGCTGTACCCCCCTTGTGGCACTTCTCCAGAAGATTCAGTACCTGCAATAGTAGAAGCCAGGACAAGGAAATACAAAGAATACATGGAGAAGAATCAGGCCAATGATTTCAGTTAAATTATTATTTTTTATTTATAGTTCTAATCTTATAATTAGGCCTGTATAAGAGCCTTAACCCCAAGCAAATTATACCCTCTTATCGTAAAGGGACAGGATTTCCGTCGTACATTTCAGTTTCTCTTCCTCAACGCCATCCTTTTCCGGTTACCTCTTATGAATAACTGTCTCCAATGACAGTTTGTTAAAGCCACTTTTATCATGACCCTCAAATCTTGCACAGTGCTCTTTTTTCTAAGAAAATTAGTATCCTTAGTGTCAAACTATAGCTTCACTAAAGCAAACTGAATCAATGAATGAACGAACGAACGAACGAATTCCAAGTTATCTTAACTAAAGTGAATGGAATGAATGAATCTCATATTTCCCTCCTCTGGACCCCCTGCCTCGCCTTCCCCTCTGTTGTTTCCCTTTAGATCTAAGCCCATAAGTAAGGCACCTCTTCCTTTGTACATCATCACATATATTTGTGGTTGTTAGTTGCAAAGTCGTGTCCGACCCATCACGACCCCATGGACAACATTCCTCCAGGCCTTCCTGTCCTCTGCCATCTTCTGGAATCCATTTAAGCTCACGCCTACTGCTTCAAGGATTCCATCTAGCCACCTCATTCTCTGTCGTCCCCTTCTTCTATTGCCCTCAATCTTTCCCAGCATTAGGCTCTTCTCCAGTGAGTCCTTCCTTCTCATTAGGTAGCCAAAGTACTTGAGTTTCAACTTCAGGATCTGGCCTTCTAAAGAGCAGTCAGGGTTGATCTCCTCTAGGACTGACCGGTTTGATCGCCTTGCAGTCCAGGGGACTCGCAGGAGTCTTCTCCAGCACCATAGTTCAAAAGCCTCAATTCTTTTGCACTCAGCCATAGATAAATACAATAATAAACACAACTGATGGACATGGCATTATACTGACCTGTTCAACCAGAGGAGAGATTTCTCAGCTGAGGTGGGGTGAGAAGCCACTAACTCCACTAACTCCGCTGTCCTTTTTCTTTTCATGCTGCTTTATCCAACCCAACCTATAGAAGGTAAGTTGTGTCTAGCTCTCTAGGGATCACATGGCACTATCTGGTTGGACCAGACCAGACTAGAGAGCACAGGGGACTAAAGACTAAACCATTCTAAGGGGTGTAGTGTCTGTTCAAGGGTTAGGTTTTCACAGCCCATTTAACCAGGTTAAACCCTGGTGGATGCATTTCCAAAACATGATAGGCTTGGTCCCTATTAAACTAGGGTTAGGGTTTTTGGTGGCTTAATGTGCCGCACTAACCCAGAATATGGGATACTTGCATATGTATGTAGTCTGAATTGCATATGTAGTCTGAAGGCATTCCAAGCAAACCCCATTGAAATTGACCCCATGCAGAGCCTCACTATTGATCTGGCTTCCTAAATATTGGATGAGCTTCCTTCCTGCTCTCTTGGAGGTCTGCTCAGTTTGGGCAAGTAACACCATGTCTTCAGCTAATGCTCATCCTGAAGCTTTTGGAGAATCTAAGCCTTGCTCAGGACAATCAGATTGCAGTCAATGCAGCATACCGGAGATATCACCATCCCCAACTAAACAATGGATGACCAAATCTTTGTTGTGGTGGGAAGCTGCCCTTTCCTTTCCTTCCCTTTCCTTTCCCCCTGTTAAGTTTTGTCTCAGGATTCACCTCTCCTGCTTTCTCTTGGTCTCATCCACAGGACTTCTTAGGACAGGCCTTTGTGGCCTTGGGGGAGATTATCGGCTCCCAAAGAGGTCGCCTGGAACGAAACCTCACGTAAGTCATGGGAAGAGGGTATCTGGCAAGGTTTGGGGGGGAAACTGGATGGTGGTAATCTGGAAGCATCTCTGTTCTAATGCTGTGAATACATTTTGGCCAGAAAGTTAAAATCAAAATTTTGGGAAGAAGAGCTTTGGAGGACAAAGATCATAAGGCCATTGTTTCTCTGTCTCACAAATGGTCACCAGACTTTTGTTCTGGCATTCTGACAAATCAGCTATCAACAGACACATAGCCATAAATAACATCTACATACTGTGCAAAAGAGATAATTAATAGGCCAAAAAGGCAGCAAAAAGACCAAACATCTCCTCAACACCCAGATGAGCATAGATTAACACCAAGATTAACATCAGATCAATAATCAAGAAGTGAACTGTACCTCAGTCAAACAAGCCAACAGTAGACAAGTCAACCCCAAACTCACCAAGACCACTCCCACTAACACTGATAGAGCAAACCTCTGAGTATCCATTGAGAGCAAACCCCACTCCCTGCTAGCACTGATGATGTTACCTAGTTTGGGTGATGAAATGTCTTCAAAAAAACAACTAATGTCAGAGAGCACCAGAGACCCCTCTTCAGCACTGGGTGAAAAGATGGTCACTGAGGGACATTCCAACTCTCTCGATTCTCTTGATTCCTCTGGCTCTGCCCTTCATACATTCTTTTCCTTCCGTGCAATCCCTTTGTAGAAACAACTTTGATTTTCTTTTCCACTTGGGAAACTAGAGCAGCAACTGGCATCATTCCAGTGATATTTCCACCATAATAGCTTTCAGTCACGGAGATTCCACCGAGCAGGGGGTTGAGCTAGATGGCTGCTGTACTTCCCAATTGTGATGCTATAATTCATAAGCACTATGAGTAGCCCTCGACTTAGGAGCAGTTGAAGTTATAATGGATGCCAAAAATGGTACTTATGACCCAGATTATGAGTCAAAGTTCTGACAGGTGGGCCCTCTCTCAACAAGTGGCCCACCTCATGGCCATTTGAAGTGGCCCATAGTCACATGATTGTGTTTTACAATGTTTTTGGGCCGGAAACCAGAGTATTATGGTTCTGACATATGAAACTCTTCAAAGAATTTTGAGGCATTGTTTACCTTAAATAATCTTTATTCGAGCAATAACACATCGGCACTTACATAGTCCAAGTCAAAATCTGACTTCCCCTCCCCTCAGCACATAGTATCAAAGCACAGTTCCCTCCTACAACTAACAGTCATAAATCACATTCTCCAATTAGTTTGAAATGCTGGCTTTCCACCCAGTTCTTCATCCCACCATGCCTTATCATCACTTATTACAAACAACCTTGGTTCTTACCATTATACAGTATTGTTTTGTCTAACTAATCTCCCATGAACATTCAACCTCCCCCCCCCCCAGTATCATCTAATTCTAACTCTAAAAGTAAAACTTAAAGTGAAGGAAAATGGATGCGTCTCCATATGTTGTCAAAGCAAGAACATCGATGTTAGCTGCGTTGACACGGAGTTTATTTCCAGCTTCCAACAAAAAACATCCATTGGGGACAATGGGTTCACTTAATGACTACCCTAAAAAAAGTCACAAAATCAAGTCAGTCATCTGCTTAATGAACGGCATGATGTACAACAATAATCCCAGGCTCATTTATGCTCATAAACCGAGGACCACGTGAAGTGGCATTTGAACGGTTTGTATGCTCTTTTGTCTCTGATGTTTTAATACAATTAAGCAGCCTTTATTCTCCAACAGGAAAAAGAAAGAAAGAAAGAAAGAAAGAAAGAAAGAAAGAAAGAAAGAAAGAAAGAAAGAAAGAAAGAAAGAAAGATGAAGCGGTGTCTTCATCCTTCCAGGATGTTGGAACTCTGCCTGAAAATTCGGGGGGAGGGAGGGAGATTGGTTAAGATTCCTCAAAGTCCTGATGCGTTTGGAAATGCCCAGGTTGTAGAAATCAGAAACAGACCGTTTCAAATTCCTGAAGATCAATGGTATCACTCTTCTTTGTTCCACTCAGGTTATAGCAAAGATCTGAGGATCTCAAGAAGAGAAACACTTTAAAAACAACAGCCATGTAATTGCTTAATCAGTTCAGCTCTTCTGATTAAAATATCTCATTAGTTGGCAGTCTGAATAAAAAAGGAATTCGGCTCCCAGGCATGGGAGGGCAGCCAAGTGTGCTGGGGGGGAGGGGCTTGGCTGGAATACCCCAGCTTTGATATAGATGCATTAACAAACTGAAGGAGCAGGATGGTCTGGCCATTCTGAGCCCTGCGTGGGAAGGATTGTGTTTGGAGCTGTTTCAGAACAGATATTATTGGCTGAAAGCACTCAGTCCTTCAGCCTTGAGGAAAAACTTGTAGGAACTTCTGGGCTTTTCCAATTGGTAGCAAGGGCAAAGCCGGGGGTCCTGGGGACCGGCTTCTCCACCAGAGGCTAATTCCTTCTGACAAAATGTGCTGCTGTGCCTTCAAAGCTCGAAATGGTTGCGATGCACAGCAGTCACCTTGTGTGATGGAATGGAGTATGGATTCCCAGGAGGACAAAGAGGCAGCACAGCTTGGACAGTTTGGTCGGCAGGAAGAGGTCTGGACCTAGCAGTTCCCAGAGTATATCTATAGCTATGCAAATAGTTGCTTTAATCTGGCAAGAGTCTGTCTGTAGGTGAAGAACAATCAAAGAAACCAAGGTAACCCCACTTGTCGTTCTTGGGACCTGACCCCTTCTTGCTATGATGGGAATTAAGAAGCAGGCCCCCTGGTTGAGGACCCAATTTGTTGGGGTCAATATGCTGACTCTGTAAGCCGCTTAGAGAGGGCTATAAAGCACTGTGAAGAGGTATATAAGTCTAAGGGCTATTGCTCCTTCACTCTGATCTCCAGTGCATCACTTCCAACTGAGGGGAATCTGTTCCTGTGCTGTTTAGTTGGCATTTGTGCTTTCTAACTGAAGGAAGCTATTCAGAGTAATCATCCATGCCAAGCAAATAAGAATCACATCACTGCAATATAATGGGGGGAAGTACAATTCCCTTCAATAGTATTATCCCACCCAATGGCATCTTGCAGTTTAGATATTTAATTTTTGTTTATTGCTAGTCTTTTCCACTCCGCTAACTTTGTATTCAGGGTCCAGTAAATTCTGATAGGATTTCTATAAAGCAAGGGAGCAGCTATAGGGCTGTTATAGTTATTAGTATATCATTCTAACAAGAAAACGTGGAATATAAAATATATGGTGATGGATAACCACAAGCTTTCCTTCTTCCTTTTCTTCCTTTTTATGGAGAGAAGGAAGCCTACTAGAGGCTTCACATAACTGTTTTGTTTCATTTTTTAATAAAAAGTGATAGGAAGTCTATTGTTTGCCACCCAATCTAAGCAGCACAAGTTCAGGATCCTATGGAGGCTGCAGAAAAGAGGCTGCAGGTTACCCATCCCTCTTATAAAGCAATGCCTGAAATAAATTATTGGGTAGTTAAAGCCACAAGTTGTGTTTTCTCCATTATTACTGTTTATCTTGCTTTTTAACCATTCCCAAGCTTTGTTTATGGGTATTACTAACTGTTAACTATATCTCTGTCTGTCTATCATCTGTCTGTCTGTCTATCTATCTATCTATCTATCTATCTATCTATCTATCTATCTATCTATCTATTTCTATATCTATCTCTCTGTCTACCTTTGTCTCTCTCCATCATCTGTCCTATCTATCTATGTATCTATGTATCTATGTATCTATCTATCTATCTATCTATCTATTTCTATCTCTATATCTTTCTCTCTCTGTGTGTCTACCTTTGTCTCTCTCCATCTATCTATCTGTCTGTCTGTCTGTCTGTCTATCTGTCTGTCTATCTATCTCTATCTTTCTCTCTCTGTCTCTCTTTCTCTGTCTACCTTTGTCTCTCTCCATCATCTATCCTATCTATCTATCTATCTATCTATCTATCTATCTATCTATCTATTTCTCTCTATCTTTCTCTCTCTCTCTGTCTACCTTTGTCTCTCTCCATCATCTATCTATCTATCTATCTCTATCTTTCTCTCTCTGTCTCTCTTTCTCTGTCTACCTTTGTCTCTCTCCATCATCTATCCTATCTATCTAATCTATCTATCTATCTATCTATCTATCTATCTATCTATCTATCTATCTATCTATCTATTTCTCTCTTTCTTTCTCTCTCTCTGTCTACCTTTGTCTCTCTCCATCATATATATCTCTCTCTCTACCTTTGTCTCTCTCCATCATCTGTCCTATCTATCTATCTATCTATCTATCTATCTATCTATCTATCTATCTATCTATCTATCTATCTATCATCTACTCTAGATAGATTGGGTGCCATGAGAAATGATGGGTTTCAGCTCCTATAACCCTCAGCCTGCAGGGCACATGAAGTTATTGGGAGTGGAAGCTAAATACATACGAGAGGTTCAGGTTTGGGGACATTGTTTTACTGTGAAATCCTAACTGGTTCCTATTCATGGCTGCTGACATCCTCCTGAACTTATTGATGATAGTATTTCATGTTTCTTATTTGGATTCCTGTCCACACATCTATCCTACATTGCCATATTGGTTCCATTAGTGCCAGCACGAGCAAGCAGCAAGAAAGGACCGCTCCCACACTAACCTTGAGTTTTTAATGATCACATTTAGGGGAGTTCCAGGAAAGAAATGTGGCACCCTAGTGCTGTCTGCTGAAGAGCTCAGCAACTGTCGGGTGAGTGGCTTGTTCTCCCCATCATTTGAGGAAAAGGCAGGAACACCTTCCCTCCCACCCCCTCATGCATAGTGGGTCATGAGTAAAATGAATGGGGCAGCCTCTCTAAGGTGAACTACCAATAAAGGAGAATGTTTATAGCTCAGGGTTGCAATGAGGGGTCCTTGGTGCTCTCTGAGCTTGGTTGTTTCCTTGCAGATGTTTCATTACCCAAACAAGGTAACATCCTGACTACTAGCACTGATGATGTTATCTAGTCTCTGTAATGAAAAGTCTGCAAGAAAACAACCAAGCTAAAGAGAAACCAAGGTGAACTCTTTTACACTGATGTCCAATTAGAACAGTGACAAACAACCTTTGCCGAGTCTAGGGCCACACTTGACTTTTGAATGGCCTGCTGTGACTTGCTAAAAAAAAGTGGAGGAAGGTATCCAACCATAACTCTCACTATTCATGTAATCTATAGTATAGGTATCTAAAATAAGATTTTGGTGTTCTCTCTTCAAATCTCATAATATTTCAATATTCCTAGGCAAAATCTTTTAGGATTCCATGTGGGAACATCGAAATCTTCATGAGGCTTAGCATTTTTAAAGCATTTAAATTAAAGTTTGATTAACTGTGGGATCCCACAATGCCATTGGATTACCACCTGTACAATGATACAGAATAACAGAGTTGGAAGGGACCTTGAAGGTCTTCTAGTCAAACCCCTCTGCTCAAGCAGGAGACCTTATACCATTTCAGACAAATGGCTGTCCGGTCTCTTAAAAGCCTCCAGTGTTGGAGCACCCACAACTTCTGGAGGCAAGTCGTTCCACTGGTTAATGGTTCTCACTGTTAGGAAATTTCTCTTTATTTCTAGGTTACTTCTCTCCTGGATTAATTTCCATCCCTTGCTTCTTGTCCTGCCTTAAAGGTGCTTTGGAGAATAGGTTGACCCCCCCCTCTTCTTTGTGGCAACCCCAGAACAGCAAAAGCTTTGTTTAATATGCCCCTGTATAGTTCAAATTACATTGCCACCTTTTGGCAGCAAGCCAAAACAGAGGCACAGAAATCAGATATGGGGACAAGTTAATTTTATGCCATTATAGTAAAAAATATACTTCCCTGCCCCCAGTTCTGCTTTGCTTCCTGCTGCTTCAACATGTGTCTGTGTGTGTGTGTGTGTGTGTGTGTGTGTGAGAGAGAGAGAGAGAGAGAGAGAGAGAGAGAGAGAGAGAGAGAGAGAGAGAGAGAGAGAGGGAGGGGGGAGGAGGGAGGGAGGGAGGGAAAAAAGAAAAAGAGAGGAAGAGAGAGAGAGGCATGGATGAGTGAAGAACACGCTCTTCAAGTATGGAAGTAGGGAAAAGTATGGAAGAGCTCATCTGTGGATGAAAAAATTCTCAAATTCATCCGTTCCTGACAAATTTCATCCCTGAAACTCAGCCACTTGAACTACTTATCTTAAAAGGGCCATTATGAAATTTTGCCAGGAGCACTTTTCAATGGAAGTTGATTCTCAAAAGGTATAATAGCACAAAAAAACTGGACTGACTCTAAAAACAGCCTAGATCAGAGATGCTGGAAACCATCTGTAAGTTATTCATGTTCTTTGGGGAAAGAACATGAACAAATCATACATCGAGAACATTTTTTTTAGAAAATGCAATCAAACCAGAAATGGCTCTTTTCTATTTATATAGAGTTTTGAGTGTCCATCAGTTAAAAAAAAAAAAAAGTTTGAAGCAGTGGGCTTTTTCTGTTTCTTATAAGTAGTTTTCCACTCCTAGAGTTGATTATTTTTTATGACCTCCTTGCCCCCACTTCCCTTTCTGATGTAGCCTTTTCCTTCCAGGACATTGTCACCATGCAGTTGTGTGCCAACAAGCTGGACAAGAAGGATTTCTTTGGCAAATCGGATCCCTTCCTTGTTTTCTACCGCAGTAACGAGGACGGCACGTACGCAAGAGAACCCCTTTTCGAGGCAACCAACTTCCCAGGCCAGATTCTGGGCTGTTACTTAATGGCACGTAGCTGCCTTGATAGTGTCATTAGGCCCTGAATTGTGTGTACACACACACACACACACACACACACACACACCTGCTCCCAAGAGACACTAGGCTTGCCTTTCTATTCTCTTCTACTCTCCTCTCTGCTAACTAAAAGGAGATGGGAAGAATGGATGAATGTTGATTCTCAGATGTGACCTCAACCCACATCAATAACCCCAATTCCCCCCCCCCTTTTTTTTTTTATTCTGAGATGAAAGAATAAGATTTGACCAAAAATACTATTTAAAAAAAAATGTTCCTGGCATCAAGGAATATAATGAATTATAATGAATATAAATTCCCTGTTGTCATGTGAACAGAAAATAATGGCGGGGGTGTAGGGCGTAGCTTAAGCTGAGCTAACATGGCTCCCTTGATCAGCGGCTGAGGTAAGGTTTTTGCCCTTGACCCTCGCCTTGCTACTCTATAGGATATCCTCTTAGCTTTCTTTCTTGTCCTTTCTAAAGGTCAGCTTGTATAGTCATGGCACCCTCAAAGTAGATCTATTCCTTTTACTCCCCAACCCATTTTAACCATTTTTTTTTCCTGTATTTGGGATGGATGCTGGAGGAGGAAAGGGATCTGCTTTTCAGTGCATGTGTTCTGGGCTGCGCAAGATGGTTGCACGAGTGATTGCAGGTGGTGAGTTCTTTTGCTCACTGTGTTTAGAGTGGAAGAGTCAGATTTTTCCATACGTGGCAAAAATCAGCTACAGTTGTGGCCTTGCTTCGGTTCTTCAGTGGTAGATGCAAAGAAGGCTTTCATGGTTGCTTAGCAACGGTAGCACTCAATGTCCATTTCTAGCTTGGCTCAGAAGTGGTTGGAGAGCACATTCCACATTTGTTCTCCGTCACATCAAGCTGATCTCCATCCTTCTCGAACTAGTGGATGTTCCAATAAAGGATGTTGGGGAAAAAGGCCAAGAGGCACGGTCTGCAGTTCCTGGATTTGGGATGCACAGATGGAAGAGGGAAATTGAGATGCTGTGGCTCAAGAGCTTCAGCTGAAATTCCCTCTCCAAGTTTTGTGCTTTAGAAACCCAAAGGAGCCTGTGCCAGTGGGCTCTTCTTCAGGGTGGACAGCTCTTCTGGTTTCTGGATGGATCAGCTTTCTTTAATCTGGCAGCCTGCAGATGTTCTAGATCAGAGGTCTCCAACCTCGGCAACTCTTAAAGACTTGTGGACTTCAGTTCCCAGAATTCCACAAGATTTTAAGACTTGTGGACTTCAGTTCCCAGAATTCCTCAGCCAGTTGTCTGGGGGATGAAGTCCCCAAGTCTTAAAGTTGCCTGTTCTAGAGCAAGGCTTTTCAACCAGTGGTACTGGTACCACCTTTGGTACATTGGCACCTGGCAGGTGGTATGCAACCATCTTAGAAAAGTGGTAGTGGGGGAGGGGAATGAGCTGAACCGGTGGCAGCACTGCACAAGCCTAAGCGAGAGATGGCTGGAGCTGCAGGGCTCAGCGGAAGCGCCAGGATCAGTGCCACTTTCCAGCTGATCGGCGCTTCTTCGGGACTGTCAGGGCTCAGTGGAAGCGCCAGGATCAGCGCCAGTTCCAGCTGGAGCTCGGTGCTGATCCTGGTGCTTCTGCTGAACCCTGAAGAAGCACCAGTCAGCTGGAAAGCAGCACTGATCCTGGCCCTTCTGCTGAGTCCAGAAGAAGCGCTGATCAGCTGGAATGTTGCAGCATCTCCAAGGTCTTGTGATTTACATTCAGATGCTTGGCAACTGATTCATATTTATGATGGTCACAGTGTCTCAGGGTCATGTGAAGTGACCAAAACCTGCTGCAACCACCCAGCAGACGGGGGGGAATAAAAACCAAACACCCCCCACCCCATCCCTGCTGCCAATTCTCAACAGAAATGCTCACAACAATGAAAACCTCAGACAGGAGGAAGAGCGCTGCCAGGTGGACAGGCAGGTGTCTTGCTCAGCTGTGGCTTGGGGGAGGGCAATTTTTTCAGTGCCATTGTAACTTCGAACAGTTACTAATTGAACTGTTGTAAGTCGAGGATTACCTGTACTTTATCACTTTTTTCCTTTTTTGGGGGGGGTCATCAAGTTTTTGATACCTTGCTAGGCGACTGGTAGTTCTCAGATATTGCCATATCCTAAAAATGGTACAATGGGTGAAAAGGTTGAAAAGCCCTGTTCTAGACTACAATATTCATCCTTTTGAACTAGCATGACAAACTGTATTCTCAACTACATTGCAATCCAACACCTCCAGAGGCCACAATATGCTACTCCACACCACATCAAAGCCCACTAGCCTTTCTTTCATGTTTGCTCTTGCCCCCTTTTGCCATGACTCCTCTCTGGTTTCAGGTTCACCATCTGCCACAAGACAGAGGTGGTGAAGAACAATCTGAATCCAGTGTGGCAACCTTTTTCCATCCCTGTGCGCTCCTTGTGCAATGGTGACTATGACAGGTTAGAGTTCATATCTATACTCTGGGCCTAAAGGCTGCGTCTCTGGGCCCAAAGGCTGGCAAATGACAGACCACCCAAAATATTGGAGGAGGAGAAATTTAATTTGTATTTTTTTATGCTGTTTCCAGATCAAACGGTCCTCTGAGTATAGATTGCCCCAAGGCTGTTAAAAACCATTGAAGTACTGTAGCTGGCAAAAGAGTAGCCAGGCTCCTTTAGATATCTATAAGGAGCAATCACTACAAAGGGCTATATAGGTGAAACATATATACATTTTTAGTGGCATAAACATATATACATTTTTAGTGGCATGTTTCCCAGGTGTGAAGGAACGATCTAGAACAGTGGTTCTCAACCTTTTTAATGCTGCAACCCCCAACCGGTCGTAAGTCGAGGACTACTCAACCGGTCGTAAGTTGAGGACTACTCAACTGGTGCAGCACCGTTTGCAGAATGGGACTTTTGGTGGGCTCAGCAGGGCAGAGACAGCCTGGACAATTCCTATTGGCTTTTGAAAGCCAATAGAATTAGACTCTATTCAAATGGTCGTTCGACCCCAAATGGGGTCCCGACCCACAGGTTGAGAACCACTGATCTAGAACAAGGGTAGGCAACCTTGCTCTTTTATGACTTGTGGACTTCAACTCCCAGAATTCCTGAGCCAGCATAAAAGAGCCAAGGTTGCTTACCCCTAATCTATATATTATGGACTGGCACTTAAAGGGATTTAATGAGTGTGGACAAAACTCTACAGCAGGGTTGTCTAACTGCTGGCCTGTGGGCCGGTTGCATTATGTGGAGGCCGCAACCACCCCAGCTCCGGCAATGCAAAAAAAGTTGTGATATATCATAATATATCACATGACACAGCAAGTTTGACACCTGTGCTCTACAGCATATGCCCCATCTCCCTTTTCATTTGGGCTCTTGTTTTCCTAAACTGAAACTCTCCTTTGGAAATTCAACTTCTCTTGTTACTTGTTTCTTCTGTTCTAGGACCGTGAAAATTGACGTCTATGACTGGGACCGGGATGGCAGGTGAGAATATGGACCAGTTTTTATAGACCCCCCTTTCCCCCACCTGGATTTCCCAGAAATATTAATTTAGGGGTCCCTGGTGCTCTCTGCGCTTGGTTGTTTTCTTGCAGACATTTCATTACCCAGCTAGGTAACATCATCAGGGCTAGACTATACTAGCACTGATGATGTTACCTAGTTTGGATAATGAAACGTCTGCAAGAAAACAACCAAGCTCAGAGAGCACCAAGAGATCTCTCATTTCATCCCTGAGCGTCAAATATTCTCCTTTAGTGTTAAATTACAATTCTTATCAATTCACCCAGTGTAGAGTTGTAGCCCAAATCATTTGAGGGCATCATGATAGGGGAAGGTTGGTATAATCCAGGGGTAGGCAACCTCGGCTCTTTTATGACTCATGGACTACCCCTGGTATAATCCTTTCTCTTATTCCAGAGATTCAAGAAACAATTATCTGGGCATTGTATGCTAATTGCATGGCATTATAACTAAAAATGAGTGAGGGTCGCTCACTTTCTGATACTCTCTTTCTCTCTTTATCCTGTGAAGGCTCTTTTTCTCCTGCAAACTGTGAACCGCCAGCAAAGGGACATTTTTGCCAAGGTTATTTAAAGTGGGGCCAAAAGTCATACCTTTCTCGTGCACGTCCTACCTTAATTGAATAAGAGCAATCCCACTGGTGCTTATTTAGATGGAAATTCCATATAAGTGTTTGTAGGATGGAAGTCTTGACTTTAACAGAACAAATTTAAAGCTTCCTTTCCTTTCTTTTCAAAATCATTAGTGCCTAATCTGAAGCTAGGATCGGTAGAAAGAATTACCACGACTTCTCGAAGCCTTCTTAGCTAGAACAGAAGCTCATGGCAAACCTTGGTTGATTTTATAAGGCTGACAGATAATTTTGTGAATGGGAGACCATCAAGCAGCTGTTATGTAGACAAGGAAGTTGAAAAAAAAAAAAAGATGGCAATTGGAAAAAGGATTTCCTTACCGTTGACAAGGAAATTACGTGTGATCAGAAAAAGCGGGATCAGATTTGGACAGGACTTGGGTGGGATATCGACATGGCTGTAGGTTGAATTAGAAAGTCAAAATAGCATACCAAAAGAAGGTACAGGTACAGTAGTGTCCAAAATTGTGGAAACCTTTTGGAAAAAGTGTATTTTTGAGGTTTGATGGCTAATAACACCATTTTGTTTTGGAGTAGTAACATAAAAATATATATCAATAGAAAGATAATTTAATCAAGAATGTAATGCAACAAAGTTTGTTCAATTATATGTACTGTATTCTATGAAAAGTTATAGCCAAATAACCAGAAAAAGGAAGCACAACTTGCTTAGGTTGATATCAGGTAGCTTTCCTTCATTTGATTGTAGCCAATGAGCATGAGTGTTTAGAGAGCCAATCAGGTGTCATCTTGTTTTGGCAATGAGCCAATCAGATCACAGTAGGATTCAGTTATTAGTCTCGTATTGAAGCTGAGATGAGGACATTTGTCAGGGTGTTATGTGATCTCTATCAAGTTGGTTGGGTTTTTTGTGTTCTTTCATTTAGTGAGCTTGTAAAATGTTAATAAAATTAAAGTAATGGTGCAAAGAGTTGACTGGTTGCCCAGAAAGCGATGTAAAATAGTATTATTAAGTGAACAAGGCTACAGTTATAAAGAAATTAGAAGAAAAATTGGTGGAAACATAACCAAAGGTGGTATTTCTGCTGTACACTTTCCCCAAAAGGTTTCCACAATTTTGGCCACTATTGTAGTTTTCACTTACCAACTGCCTTATTTAGTGACTGAAGTTGCAAAGATATAAACAGAATAGCTTTGCAACCTGTCATTGCATTTATGACTGTTGCAGAATCCCTTGGTTGAATGATCGCCATTCTGCCACTTTTCAACGGGCACACATTTACAATTGTGCAGTCATCTGATCACCATTCATGTGCTCCCCAACTGGCTTCTGACAAGCAGAGTTAATGGAACACGTGGAAGTAAAAATCTCAAGTCACGTGATTTCTCACTTAAACGACCAAATGTTGGAAGCCCATTGTGGTCATGCGATTTTTCCACTTAACAGTTGAGGCACCTAACAACAGAGTCGTTGACCCCAATTGTGGTTGCTAGGTGAAGACTACCTACAGTAGAATGGGAACCGATTCTATATTATTACCCCCCAAAAAATTGGATAGCTGTGGTCCTGGAGTCACCTGGAAGTTGCACCACACCCTTCAGACACTCCATATTTATTTATTGTCTTCCCCCTCACTGATCTGAGCTTTCCCCTGCTTAAGGTTTGGTGCTGGATTAGTGAATGGTGCATGACAACGTGACAAAATGAGTGATGGTCCTTTGGGCAGCAGATGGGAAAGGCCATTTTTAAGTACAAAGAAAAAATCTGTAAAGGATGAAATCGAGTGACAGCAGAGAAAGATGAAAGAGTCTGCAGACTCTGTGCATTTGTGTTATTTTCTTCTGACTGAATTTGGGCTTTTGGACTCAAATGCAAAGCACTCAAAATCCACTCCCACCCACCCCATCCTCTCTCTACCCTTTCAATCTGCTGCATTTGTAGATGCACCCTGTGGGGAAAAGGGGATTAAGTGAATTGGGTGGGTGGAGTAATTAAAAATCCTAGGTTCTTCACAGCAGGATGTGGGATACTCAAAACATACGCTATTCATACACTCGCTCAATCCAGGTTTAAGCTACCCCGGCAGGGAAGCATTACATTACTTCTTTCTTGTTGTCTCGGCAGCCATGATTTCATTGGAGAATTTGCCACAAGCTATCGTGAACTCTCTCGTGCCCAGAACCAGTTCACAGTGTATGAGGTAAGTTTTCTCCTGGAAAAATACAGATTCTCTTGAACAATATTATTATTATTATTATTTTTTGCAGGGTTTGTACTACTCGGAGCCAACAAATTACATTTCTGCTGAGAAATCTGGGGATGTTTTGGATGGGTTTAAAAACAATGCCCACAAGCAAGTTTCTAGTCCTCATTGGTGTAGACTGTAGAGAAGCCCAGTGACATCTGTTAACAATTGGTGAAAGATCTGGATACAGGAGAACTTGTTTGACTTTTCTGCTTTCAGAGTGGTTGGTTCTCTTGTGCTCTAATGAAGCTCGCTAGCATTAGTCCAGTCTCATCCCTGCTATCCAGCAGTATTTTGATTTCATTTATTGGTTAGATAGTATTCCATCTTTCCTTCAGAGGTTCAAGGCAGCACTGTCAGCAGCAATTGTCCAAACAAAGACATGATAATATTCTGATGCAAATTACACATTTCTAATGCAACCCAGACTTATGAAATACAGTTCTTCCAATGTTTGACTATTGGTGTTTGGTGATGGGGCTTGTGGATTTTGTAGTGCAGAAGAAAATAGATTGTCTGGCCAGTGATTTCCATGTCATGAGCTTCAATTGTGATCCAGCTTCTGCTGTGATAAGGGAGGGTCCAAAGTCAAGCGATTAAACAAAATTTATCTACCGAAGAGTGCAGGTTGAGTCCAGCATTGTCATATTAAAAGAATGGGAGAGAAGGTGGAAAAGATCCTTAAGGAAGAACAAAGGCTATTGTTATCAGAGGAGATGTACACAGGTCCTTGACTTATGACCACAATGGAGCCCAACATTTCTGTTGCTAAGCAAGGCAGTTGTTAAATGAGTTTTGCCCCATTTTACCTTTCTTGCCACAGTTGTTAAATGAATCACTGCAGTTGTTAAGTTAGTTAGTTACACAGTTCTGGCTTCCCTATTGACTTTGCTTGTCAAAAGGTCGCAAAACGTGATCACATGATCCCGGACACTGCAAATGTCAAAAATAATTTTCCATTCCAAATTAGAATATCTTTTACTAATGGAATATGTGGGAGAGGAAAAAGCAGAAATCAGAGTGCCACTTAGTAAAGAAAAGAATGATTAACAATGCTTATGTCCTACTTCATTATTCAGGACTTACAGGTAGGAATCATGTGGAGAACTGACATAACTGGTGGATTAGATTTGGATATGTCCAGTATCTTAGATAATGATGATAAATCAAATGACAAAACTAAAAAGAAATATATTGAATTTATGATATAAGGCTGGGAGCAGACAACCTGACAAGAGGGCACTTTTACAGAAAGATATTTCTTGTCAGATGGATACTAGGAGCTAGTTTGCATAAACCAGAGGTTTGCAAGACAATAGTAATTGTATCTGATGGGCTATTAGCTATCTCTGATTGTCCACCTGCATCAAAAAACTCAGTTTGGGAGCTATGACCACTCATTGTCTTTCTTCAAATAATGTTCATATACAACATTCTCCAAATATTGTATATGAACTGTAGCAGCAGCCAAAAAAAAGCTAATGCAATCCTTGGTTGCATAAACAGAGGCATAGAATGAAGATCACATGAAGAATTAGTACCGCATTATAAAGCCTTAGTAAGACCACCAATACTGCATCCAGTTTTGGTCACCACATTACAAAAAAGATTTTGAGGCTTTGGAAAAAGTACCGAGAACAGCAGCTAAGATGATTAAAGGTCTGGAGACTAAAACATGATGAAAAATTGCAGGAATTGGGTATGGCCATTATAGAGAAAAAAAAAGGAGTAGGGGCGACATGATAGCAGAATTCTAGTATTTGAGGGGCTGCCACAAAGGAGTCAAATTATTCTCCAAAGCACCAGGCAAGACAAGAAACAATGGATGGAAACTAATCAAAAAGAGAAGCAACCTGGAATTAAGGAAAAATTGCCTCACAGTGAGGCAAGCTGTTCCAATTAACCAGTGGAACAGCTTGCCTTTAGAAATTTTAGGTGCTTCATCAATGGAGGTTTTTAAGAAAAGACTGGACAGCCATATGTCTGAAATGATATAGGGCAGGGGTAGGCAACCTTGGCTCTTTTATGACTCGTGGACTTCAACTCCCAGAATTCCTGAGCCAGCCTGGCTGGCTCAGGAATTCTGGGAGTTGAAGTCCACGAGTCATAAAAGAGCCAAGGTTGCCTACCCCTGGTATAGGGTCTCCTGCTTCAGCAGGGGGTTGGATTAGAAGACCTCCAAGGTCCCTTCCAGCTCTATTCTTATTGAAATGTTCAGGGCAGTTTAAAAAAAATCTGATTAAAAGCAATCAGTTGAGTACTATGAAGATGTAGCCTAGTCATGCATTACTAGTTTTTATTATGGCCACCAGCAATTTCATATATATTTTAGCATGTACATCAGTGCTATGTGCTAAAATACATCTTTTCAAGTTCTGCAATATGCATATGCTGCACAGAGCCATAAGTGAAAATTTCTCCCTATCCTCAAGGATTTTCCTCTGAGGGCATCTAAAACTGTTGCTGCCGTGTATTTGCAGAGTGTTGTTTCTTTGCTTACAGAAGACTGTGAAGTACTGTAGTGCAAAACTAAAAAAGCCAGTTCTGTATCTTTGGGTAACAAAACAGTACCGATTCTTTCTTACAATTATGAGCAGAGGAGAGTCACTTCTGAATGCACTCTCTCTCATTTAAGCCAGAACTGTGTTTTTAAAAATATCAGCCAAAAAGAATAATTACATTTGATAGGGAGGTTTAAGACTTCCCCCTAATCTTCCCTCTTTGATTTTCAGTGGTAAAGGAAAAAGAAAAAAGAATAACTAGGAGTTAACATAAGGAGACTCCATTTGGAAACCAACTTCATTTAGGATCATCCTATACAGGTAATCCTCGAGTTATGAATAGAACAGAGCCTGCCAATTACTTTCATAACCCGAGGATTTGTAAGAGTGAATCAAGTAACATAATAATAAAATAATAATAATAACAACAACTGCAACAATAACAACAAAACAACAACAACAACAATAATAATAACTTTCGAATACAGACAGATCGCCATTTGGAACACAATACGCCAGATATCGCAGTTGTAGAGAACCAAAGCGTACAGCTGATTGATATTGCTGTACCAGGAGATGCCAGAGTCGAAGAAAAAGAACTGGAAAAAATTATGAAATATCGCGACCTGGCCATCGAAACTGCGTGATTATGGATGAAACATGTAACAGTGGTACCCATTGTCATCGGGGCACTGGGAACTATGTCCAAAGACTTTGCAAAATACATCAAGAAACTGCAGCTTCCTGCAATAACTCCAGCAATGTTACAAAAAACTGCGCTACTTGGAACATATTTTAAGGAGATACCTGGTTGACACCTAGGATGCTAGTAGCAACCCGTGTCAACCATCAGCACCAGCCAATTTTAATTTTCAGTGGACTGAAGTTCATGTTTAATGAATAAAAGATAATAATAATAATAATAATAATAATAATAATAATAATAATAATAATGATGATGATGATGATGTTGGAAGGGATCTTGGAGGTCATCTAGTCCAACCTCCTGCTCAGGCAGGAAACCCTATACCATTTTGGACAAATGGCTGTCCAGTCTCTTCTTAAAAACTTCCAGTGTTGGAGCATTCACCACTTCTGGAGGCAGATTGTTCACTTGAAAGTGATCACTCCCTGCTTTCCCCCACACATTTGCAGGTCGTTAAGTGCACGAGATATCTCAGGATGGGGAAGGCCATGGGGGACCTGTTGCTTCTGACTACCCAAGACCTCCCCCGCCCCACTGAGATATCTCATGCTTCCCCCCCCCCCATCCCACCCGACCGGGTCACTTACTTTATGTAGATCTCAATGATCAAGGGAGATTCTCCCCTCCAGCCTCTCTGCCATGGTTTCGCCTTGAGCAAAAGCTTGCCGTGGCCTGCAGGGATGAGAGATTGCATCGCTGTAGGCTCCAGTCGTCTTTGCAAAAAGCCTTTGCTGCCAAGAACGAAGGCCAGGAAGGACGCACGGTCCCCTCCCGGCCTCCATTTATAGCAGCAAAGGATTTTTGCAAAGACAGCAAAGGGCTTTGCAAATGGAGGGAAGGCTTTGGTACTTCAGGCCTTCCCTCGGTTGGCAAAGCCTTTTGCTGCAGATCTCATCCAGGCCTCTGTTTGCAGAGAACAGAGACCTAAAGTAGTGTGAGATCACGGGAGTTCAGTAGTGCGAGATCTCATGCTATTAATCTCACATGATCTTGTGGTACTTTAGTCTTCCATTCTCTGTGAATGCATCGAAGGCCTGAAGCACAGAAGCAGGCCAAGAAACCAAAGACTCATTAGATCAGTGATGGCGAAACTTTTAGACACCGAGTGCCCAAAAAACGCTCTGCCCCCTGCCCCGCCCTCTCTGTGCCCCCTGCCCCGCCTACTCCACCCCGTCTCCTGCCCCACCCACTCTGCCCCATCTTACCCCCACCCCCACAGGGCCACCTACCACTTCCACGGCCCATCGCGGCAGATTGTCCAGGTGTCCCTGCAGCACCATGGTGGCCACGCAGAGATGATGCTGCAGGGCGCGGAGTCTTGTACCTGCTGCCATGTCCTTGGCTGCACTGCTCTGCATGGGCCACGACTGGGGGCGACTCTCCTCCGGGGGAACTGCTAGTGAGGAGGGGACTGTGGGGGGAGGCAGGGCTAGGGCGTGCCCACAGAGAGGGCTCTGAGTGCCACCTCTGGCACATGTACCATAGGTTTGCCACCACTGCACTAGATCTTCACAAGGTGAGTTTCCACAGGCCCAGTGCCTATGGAGACCCGGCCGGGGAGCGGGAATAGGTAGAGCAAATGTTGCAGTGCCTCTGCAGTCGTTTGTAAGGGTGAACAACTGGGCGCTGCAACATTTGTAATTGTCATAAGTAAGTCCATAACTTTGAACAGTCGCTAAGTGAACTGTCATAACTCAAAGATTGCCTGTATACTGCAGTTTCAAGAGCCATGGTGAGCGCAGTGGTTAGAATGCAGTATTGCAGTATAACTCTGCCAAACTGCCAGGAGTTCGATCCTGACCATCTCAAGGTTGACTCAGCCTTCCATCTTTCCGAGGTCAGTAAAATGACCCAGATTGTTGGGGGCCATAGGCTGACTCCGTAAATTGCTTAGAGAGAGCTGTAAAGCACTATGAAGCAGTATATAAGTCTAAGTGCTATTGCTATTTCATAAATGAGGCTGGAAAAAAAATTCCATAAAAGCCTCATCTGGAAACACCCAACTTTCAGAATATCTTTTATCATTTGGAAACATGTTTGCTTTTCCTTGGATAGATGAATCTGTGGCCCATTTTTGCATCTTCCCATACTAGCTTGCGTGGGCTGCTATCTGGCAGTGCCTAGTCTAAATTAAGAGGTAGATGGCCCCGCCTTTCAGAAAGAGGAGCTGGGATATGATGCTTCTGTTCTTTATAGCTCCGTGAATCTGTATAACTGGACTATAGAAGCCCCAAAAGGAGAAGAAGCATTTGCACAGATGGAGCTTTGGTGCTAGAGTTATTTCTTAGTTTTTTCTCATCCCACCTTTATTGTTTTTATGACTAACTCAAGAACGTGCCCCAAACTCTTTCCTCCTCTTATTTTTCCCAAAACAACCACTATATGAGGTAGATTGGACTGAGAGAGATTGACTGGTCCAAAGTCACCTATCCGGCTTTCATGCCTAAGGCAGGACTAGAACTCATGACCTCCTGGTAATTGGTCTAAAATCTAACTCATCCAACTGGCTTTCATGTCTAAGGCGGGACTAGAACTCACAGTCTCCTAATGATTGGTCCAAAATCACTCAGGCAGATTTCATGCCCAAGGCGGGACTAGAACTCACAGTCTCCTAATGATTGGTCCAAAATCACTCAGCCAGGTTTTATGCCCAAGGCGGGACTAGAACTTACAGTCTCCCAGTTTCTAGTCTGGTACCTTAACTACTTGACCAAACTGACTCTCTAGTTTGTTAGTTGGAGGGAAAAAGTGCTCCTCTCTCATTCATTCTTTCCTTCCATTTCCAGGTTTCGAACCCTAGGAAGAAGTGCAAGAAAAAGAAGTACATTAACTCGGGGACTGTAAGTGTAGGACGGTTTTTCCCCCCACTCTTAGCCCACAATCCCTGCCATCCCTCATCCTTATAAATCAGTGCACCGAGTCATGTGAAGCTGATGGGATTCTTTTCACTGGGGCACGCTCCAGCTTTTTCCTGTCAAACGTCTTACCTGCTCTTAAAAAAAAAAAAAAGCAGCACTTGCTTGCGTTATCAAAGCCAATCACATTTCCCTTCTCTTCCTGAATCACTTCTCTCGAGGGCAATCCACAACAGACCCCCCCACCCCCCACCCCCAAATCTTTCTTTCTGCCCAGATGACTGTACCATCCAGAATATCTCATACTTCTTTTTTCTTCTTCTTCACTTTTGTCTGTGTTTCTCTGTAGGTAACCCTTCTGTCATTCACAGTGCAGTCAGAATTCACCTTTGTTGATTACATTCGAGGCGGGTGCGTCGGTTGAAAATCCTGGATGCCTCTCAGGTCCCTGGTTTCTGAGGGCCGTGGGCTCTCAGCCCTCTTCCTGTTCACTGCCTCTGAGGCATTGCGGGGCGGGGGAACTTATAAGAGGGCATCAGGGGCAGAACGCAATGACTTTTAAGGTGATAAGGAAGTACAGTAGATGCCTCAGGAATGGCACATTGGGGGGTGGGGGTGGGGATGCTCTGGTCTCTTTAAGAGGGAGACTTCCTGGTGCTGGAGAGACGATGAATTGCCTAGCACAAAAAAAAGGGAGCACCCTTGAGACATTGGAAGGGATCCCCAGGATGGCAGCATCCATTACTCTCTCTCGTTTCCGCACCATCCTTAGGACACAGCTGAATTTCACAGTCGCCATTGACTTCACGGCCTCCAATGGTGAGTGCAGCACACCCGTGTGTCACTCTGGGAACAGAGGGCAGCTCTGCTGCTGGTAACAAAGCAGCCAGGTTGACTCTGATGCTTGCTGAGATTTGTTTAGGAGCGGCCACATCTGGACGCCATCTCTGCTCCCATTATTTAGGGAGATGGGATGAGAATTCACATGGGCCCGTTGGGTAGGGATGGCCAAGGAGGGAGATGTCGGACAACCTGTGTTGTGATTGCAAGAAAACTTTGGGCTGCGGGGGGGGGGGAAGGTGGATGCAGAATTTTTGAGACTGACAAAATTCCTTTTCACAGGGAACCCTTCGCAACCCACTTCTCTTCATTACATGAGCCCTTATCAGCTCAGCTCCTATGCCATGGCTCTGAAAGCAGTTGGCGAAATCATCCAGGATTATGACAGCGACAAACTTTTCCCTGCTTACGGCTTTGGCGCCAAGGTCCCACCAGACGGCAAAGTATCTCATCAGTTCCCTTTGGTAAGAAAGAACCTGCTGGGCGAAGATGGGAGAGACCATAACGGGAGAATGCCTGCCAATGCACATGTAATTGCAAGACCCATGTTCATCTGAATGGGTCTGAGATAGTATGGAGGTGGCGCGATGTTTGAGCGGTTGAGACGCTGAGCTTGTCAGCTGGAAAGTCGACAGCCCGAGTTTGAGACCCAAGCACCACACAGCAGGGTGAGCTCCCGTTCCTTGCTCCAGCTCCTGACCCACCTAGCAGTTCAAAAGCATGCACGTGTGAGTAGATAAATAGGTACCACTTTGGTGGGAAGGTTAGTGCATTCCATATTTTCATGCTGGCCACAGGATGACGGAAGCATCTCTCAGACAACGCAGGCTCCCTCAGCTGAGAATCGGACATGAACACCGTCCCCCTACTTGGACAGGGGAAACCTTTAAACCTTTTAGAAATAGTTATGTCTGTTCGGGAGATCTTCTGCGTGCAAGATGGATTGAAGGAATACATTAGGAGAGATGCTCTTATGCTCTTACGGAAAAAGAGCTTTCCTAGGGTCAGTTCTGTAAAACACTCCATCATAGTTCCACATTCCTTTTTTTTATAGATTTTATTAGTTTTTATAGGGTTAGGATAAGGTGGGGTTGGGATTAGGGTAGGATTTGAGTTAGGGTTAGGGTTAGGGTTGGGGTTGGGGTTGAGATTTTTCCAATAACATTTTCAATATTTAGCAAACAGCATAATGTTTGGGTACATGTATTTAATTAACAGTAATAGATATAGTTAATTATCCTAAACAATATGTTAATTCATCACTCAATAGCCTTCTTCTTACTAATATATATTCAAAATTACATGTCACATTCCTTTCTCTCTGACTTGTTTTTCTAGCCATTGATAAAAATTATCCTATGTTCTAAAGTACACTGAGTCTTCTTTCTCTTTTATCTTCAAAGTCAATCTATCCATTTCTGCATAGTTCCACATTCCTAAACAGACACTTGAAAGTTAGATTCAGGTAGTTCTCAACTTACAACCGGTTACTTAGCGACTGTCCAAAGTGACAACTGACTAAAAAAAGTGGGATTTATGACTCAGATTTGAAGTTCCGGTGGTCAAACTTCCTCCGCAGCCACATGACCAGACTTCAGGCGCTCCGCAACACAGATGCATTTATGGCCATTTGCAGCATCCCACAGTCACCGTTTTATGATGGCTTCGCCAAAACGCAGCACTTATTTCCGGTTTTCAGCAAAACCACATCTTAGCAAACCGTTGGTGACTTAACGACCACAGGATTTGCTTAACAACCATCACTTAAAAAAATATGGATCAACCACATGACCAACCTGTTTTATAATCATCCCAACATGCAGTGGTAATGGGGAGGATTGCTGACATTGTGATGATTGTAAATGTGGGCGGATGGCCAAGTCCCCAAATTTTAATCGCATGACTGTGGGGACACTGCAACAGCCGCATCTTCAGGATGGGTCATAATATTTTTCAGCACCATCATAACTTTCAATGTTTGCTGAATGAATGGTCATAACCCAGGGACTGCTTGCATTCTGCATAGGCTTTGAGGTCCTTTCTCTATCTACGACTCTTTTTAACCAATTGTTTTAAAATGATTCTGTGGATAATTTGTAAAAAAAAAAAAAAGCATAGCTGTACAATGGCATATAATTCTGTGCTGCTATTTTGGGGATTATGATTTCATAATTCTTTAGATCATGCTAATTTATAACCCTAAGGTCATTGCTGTTTTAAGCAACTATTTTAGAGAATCTCGGAGGTCATCATCATCATTCTATTAACAGACTTGACGGTGGTGTGCAGAACTAATTTATTTCAAATTCTATTATAATATTAAATTATATTACCTCATTACGGTGACATTGGAAGTAGCATTATAGATAGGAAGGGGGTTTAGCATTTTTTTTTACCACTGAATAGGTTATCATAGTCATATACATCATTGATTAGAAGTTAATAAGAAAGGTTTTCAATTCAGAGAATGGGGGTTTCAAAGTACTATATCTTTTAATATTTCTTTCCTAAAATGTTGTCATGGTGAGGAATATGTAAGGGTCAGCCATACTCAAGAGTATCTGCAGGGTGGGTAAAAAAAGTTAAGTTGCTGGACACAATCAGGGCAATCCAAGATCTGACTTTTTTTTAATTTGTGTAACACATGTAGCACATGTTAAAAAGAGATGGACTCTTAACTGTGTAGTGAGTCACTGCTGCTGTCTTGACTTTGGCACAGGCACGTGTGCGTGTGTGTGTGTGCGCACACACACACACACACACACACACACACACACCGTGAACATTCCCACTCGCCCTTTCCGATTTGTGGATTAGATTATACAATCCATTGTGGTCTTCAAACCCCTAGCCATTTACACATTTAGTTGATGCTTCAGCTTATGTAGACCAGCCAAAACAATCAAAAGCACTTCTCAGGTAGACTTCTATGAGTCTTTCACTAAGAAAACTCAAAAGTTCTAATTCTCCCAAGTTTGACAGTGTGGGCCCTTGGTGTTCTCTGAGCTTGGTGGTTTTCTTGCAGACCCTTCATTACCAAGCTAGGCAACAGTGCTTAAGGACTGACTTCCCCAACACAATGCTCTTCATCCCTCTCAGAATTCCCAGCTCTAGAGGCCTTGAGTGTTCAGTGAAGAGTCTCTCATACCTGCACTGTCCAGTTTGCTGAGCCGTGCCATTGTCTCCCTAGAACAATAACCCGGACAATCCCAACTGCGAGGGCATCGAAGGAGTGTTGGAATCCTATTTCCAAAGCCTACGTACTGTGCAGCTCTACGGACCCACCAACTTTTCACCTGTCATCAACCAGGTGGCCTGGTAAGTGGGGAGGGGAAGAGGAAACCACCTGTCGGCCTTCTTGTCTCTCGGAAAGGTTGAAAAGGGATTTGGCCTAGTACAGGGGTAGGCAACCTTGGCTCTTTTATGACTTGGGGACTTCAACTCCCAGAATTCTTGAGCCAGCCATGCTCGGTTTCATTTGAGCAAGTTACCATCTCTCATATTAATTCCACCTGCAGCTGCTGCTTACTTCCTCTCCTGGAAGAAGCCACAAATCCCTTCCAGTCAACAATGCCAACAGCTGCTAGTCACAGCAACACAGCCACTTGCCCAAGAAGTATTATATACAATGCTGTATGTGCTGATGGCCTAAGCCAGGGATGGGGAACCTTGGCTCTTTTATGACTCGTGGACTTCAACTCCCAGAATTCCTGAGCCAGCCATGCTGAGGGGAAAGGGAGAGGTTTCCAAGCTGAGCCATGCTGGCTCAGGAATTCTGGGAGTTGAAGATCACGAGTCATAAAAGAGCCACAGTTCCCTACCCCTGGTCTAGTGGTTAAGACACTAGGCTTGAAAGTGGGAGACTGTGAGTTCCAAGTCCTGCCTTAACCATAAAGGCCAGCTGGGTGACCTTAGATTATACCCGGGGTAGGCAACCTTGGCTCTTTTATGACTCGTGGACTTCAACTCCCAGAATTCCTGAGCCAGCCATGCTGAGGGGAAAGGGAGAGGTTTCCAAACTGAGCCATGCTGGCTTAGGAATTCTGGGAGTTGAAGACCACGAGTCCCTCTCTCTCAGCCCAACCCATCTCACAGGGTTGTTGTTACAGGGAAAAGAGGAGGAGGAAGGTGTGTCAGATGTGTTTGCCACCTTGATTTATTTATAAGAATAATAAAAGTTATTATAATAAGTAAAATAAAAGAGTCAAGTGGGCCATTCTCAGCCAAGGCTTCTGGGAACCAAAACAGCCCAGTGTGTCTTGGGCAACTGCAATCTTCATTGCTTGACCTATTAAGGCAGCGGCCCATGCAAGATTTGTGCAGCGGTAAAGAAGGTGAAGGAAAGAGGAGAGAAGAGTAGCCCAGCAGGAAGAGCTTATGCCTTGCCTGCAGAAGAAGCCAAAAGAAGAGGTGAAAGGCCTCCAAATGCAGAGAGCTGATGTCGGCTGGTGTTGACGGGTATCAAATCTGATTCTGAATAAAGCTTAGGTCGGCTTCTCGCATTCTTATCTTGCTAACAAGGCAGCTGCTGTAATTTTTGGGACAAGGGAGCTGTGGACAGGACTTGCAAGGAGGCTGTGGGAAGCAAGGTGCTGAAATCAGGGCTCTCCATCACTCTCTTCTCTCTGTTTCCCAGTTTGGCTGCCCAAGTCACTGATGGCTCCCAGTATTATGTTCTTCTCATCATCACCGATGGAGTGATTTCCGACATGCTGCAGACTAAAGAAGCAATTGTCAGTGTGAGTCAGCCTTGCAGTAGCTCATCGGGCAATAAGAAAAGGAACAGAGTCAAGGTTTGGGGCATAAAAGCACATTACCAGCCCCACATGCCAATGGGTCCTCATTAACAGTCTGTCTGAGCCACCCACACGCAGAAAAATAATCTAAGGGATAGTGCACCATTATCAATTGTGTGCTTGCATGTCAGTGTGGGTAAATCAAGAAAGGTGCCCACCGATGACTTAAGCAGTCCTCGACGTACAACCATTCATTTAATGACCGTTCCAAGCACTGGTAAAAGTGACTTATGACCATTTTTCACACTTATGACCGTTGCAGCATCACCATGGTCACGTGATCAGAATGTGGACGCTTGGCAACTGGCTCATATTTATGACCATTGCAGTGTCCCGGGGTCGTGTGATCACCTTTTGTGACCTTCTGACAAGCAAAGCCAATGTCATGGTTCCGACAGATGAAACTCTTCAAAGAACTTTGAGGCATTGTTTACCTTAAAGAATCTTTATTTGAGTAGCATAGCATCGGCATGTACATAGGCAAAGCCAAAATCTGAATTCCCCTCCCCTGAGCACATAGCATCAAAGCACAATTCCCTCCTCTAATTAACAGTCATAAATCACATTCTCCAATTAGTTTGAAATGCAGGCTGTCCCTCCAGTTCTTCAACCGCCATTTCTTATCATCTCTTATTACAAAAAGACCTTGGTTCTCACACTAATACAATATTGTAATGTCTAACTAAACTCCCATGCACATTCCTCCTCCTCCCCCCCAGTATCATCTAATTCTAACTCTAATTCTAAGAGTAAAACATAAGAAGGAAAATGGCTGCATCTCCATATGTTGTCAAAGCAAGAACATCCGATGTTAGCAGCGTTGACAGCTAATGGGGAAGCCGGATTCACTTAGCAACCGTGTTACTAACTTAGTGATTCACTTAGCAAATGGGGCAAGAAAAGTTGTCAAATGGGACAAAATTCTGTTAACTGTCTCGCTTAACAACAGAAATTTTGGGTTCAGCTGTGATTGTAAGTAAAGGACTACCTCAATTACCAGCCGTTGTGGCATTTGGCACATGAGAGTGGGGAATAGAAGTTCCAAAACTTTGGAAGACTGTAGTTTATTTCCTAAATTGCAGTTGAGACAATAATCTTTTTCTCTGCAGGCTTCTTCCTTGCCCATGTCTGTCATCATTGTGGGAGTGGGCCCTGCTGAGTTTGGGGGTAAGTGTTCTACTCATTCAGATGAATGTTGAGCCATCAGGGAATTGGGTCAGAGGAACCCAAAGAGCGGATCGGATGCTTTGAGAAGAGTGCAGGTTGCCCAAGACATCAAGGCTGGCATCCTAGTCCTTGGCTGGTTGCACCCACAAGCAAAACCTCATAGCAGAATTTCCTTGCTGGTGATTGCTGATTCTTTGCAAAGCTAGAGCAAAACGCAGAAATAAAGACCTTAAGATTTATTCTCCAGCCAGGTGTCAGTAACAGTTCTCCTGGAAGATGGCAACAAATGTTAAGGTTTTTGTTGTTTGTTTGTTATCTTCAGCTATGGAAGAGCTGGATGGGGATGAAATACGGGTCTCCTCCAGGGGGCGCTATGCTGAGAGAGACATCGTACAGGTAACTCTTCTTTGAGAATCTGGCTGATTAGAATGGGCTAAAGCAGAGGTCCCCAACCTTTTGAGCACCAGGGATTCGGTTCCATGGAAAAAGGTTTTTCCGCGGACCGGAGGATGCATGGTATTGTGTACTACCTGCATCCCACAGATGGGGCTTTGCTTGTTTGTGCAGACTGGTTGCTGGCATGCCGTGGCCCGCTACTGGTCCACAGACCGTGGGTTGGGGGCCCCTGGGCTAAAGGAAGGTTTCTGAGAGGAATTGTCCTCTTCCTGACTTGTTTCTCTTAACAGCATCAAACTATGCAAGAAATGAGGTGCTAAGATTTCTAACTGATTATCACCAAGTGTTTTGCAAGAATTATCCCCTAAGACAGTGTTTCCCAAACTTGACAATTTTAAGGCATGAGGACTTCAACTCCCAGAATTCCACAGCCAGCAACGCTGGCTGTGGAATTCTGGGAGTTGAAGTCCACATGCCTTAAAATTGTCAAGTTTGGGAAACACTGCCCTAAGAGAGTCTTTCCCATGCTCAGCATGCGGCCTTTTGTTAAGAACAGAGGATGTTCGTTCTGATCTGCTTCTGAAGGAGAAAAATTCCCCCCAAAATTTGTTTAAACTGGCACGCCATTTTGGTGAAATATGGATGGTTTCATAGGGTACCAGAGGCAGTGAAAGCAAAATGAAAGAGGGCAGAGATGCAATTCTTCCATAAACTCCTCTATAAATTAAAATATATACATGATTGGCTACAACAAGATAACTGACTAATATGGTGGGATATGGGGGGAGGGGAGAGATTATATGAGGTAATGGGTATAACTACAAAGACAATGATGTCTAAAAAAGAGAAGAACTGAGATGACATGATAGCACACTTCCAATATTTGAGGGGCTGTCACAGAGAAGAGAGGGGTCAACCTATTTTCCAAAGCACCTGAAGACAGAACAAGAAGCAATGGATGGAAACTAATCAAGAAGAGAACCAACCTAGAAATAAGGAGAAATTTCCTGACAGTGAGAACAATCAATGGAATGGCTTTGCCTTCAGAAGCTTGGGTGTTCCATCACTGGAGGTTTTTAAGAAGAGATTGGACAGATATTTGTCTGAAATGGTATAGGGTCCCCTACCTGAGCAGGGGGTTGGACTAGAAGACCTCCAAGATCCCTTCCAACACTATTATTCTATATTCTGTAACTTAATTACCTTTAGTGAGTTACTTTTAATCGGTTTATCTCATAATGTTCTTGCTTCTGACAGCCTATGTTCACTCCTATCCTATTTCTTCCAGTGTTATCAAAATTTCTTAAACTTCTAAATATTTTATGGCTGAACAGGCAAGGCCTATTGTTTCACAAGTCCATGAGAAGGTGTTTTTGGAAAGGGTGTGTTTTGCTTATCCTAACCAACACCATATTTTCTCTTTCACTTCCATCAGCACTTCTCTACCTGCTGACATGAAAATGTCTGCCATGATTATCATATGTGCTTGTGGCCTTACACAAATACTGTGTGCTGATCAAGGTACCCCTTCATGACCTAGAGGACTGGACATCAACCCTTACTTTATCATCCAGATCAGATTGCCAGCCTGAAAATATGGCATTTGTTTTGATATAGTCTTACAATATTAACTTATCGTTGCAGTGCAAAAGATAGTGTGCAAAGTTCCCTGTCCAAGAAAAATAGCAGGATTTTTATTGCTGTTCGTGGCTGGGATTTGGGAATTAAAGAGTTAAGTCTGGAAGATACTTATTTGAGCATCTTAACGTCTTGCAAAACTTATAAATCTACACATGAGCTATGATCAATCTCAGTGTTTGTTTTACTGACCTGAATTGCCAGTGGGCATAAGAAAACAAAATTCAAATATTGGCAATATGACAGATAGAAGGGACTTATATATTTCTAGGGCAACTGGTGATGTAATGGTTAAAGTGCAGTATTGCAGGCACTCTGCCCACAGTCTATAGTTCGATCCTGACATGGCTCAAGTTTGACTCAGCCTTCCATCCTTCCGAGGTCGGTAAAATGAGGACCCAGATTGTTAGGGGCAATATGCAAATAATGCTTCTACTTTATAAACTACCCATAGAGTGCTATAAAGTGCTGTAGAGCAGTATATAAACCTAAATGCTGTTGCTATTGCTATGTAGTGTGTGGGGGGGGATATTCAGCCCTCATATCTTTGCTCATGTAAACTGAATTGGGAAATATCAAGTTTTCCTTTTTCTGCTGCTATTGATACCCAAGAAGTTTGCACCAGACTTGGGGATCTAATTCAGTACCCACTGCCGTTTTGTGTCTTTCCTGCTGTTGTAGTTTGTGCCCTTCCGAGACTACGTAGACCATTCCGGCAACCACATTTTAAGCATGGCACGCCTGGCGAAAGATGTCCTAGCTGAAATCCCAGAGCAGCTGCTTTCGTATATGAAAACCCGAGACATCAAGCCCCTTTCTGCTAGACCACAGTAGCTCTGTCTTCTCCATAGCCTGAAGCCATTCAGATAATTCTGCTCCAGCTGGGGCTGGGAAGATGCTTTCCCCCTAGCCTAGGCAAGCGGGCTCTTCCCCCTCTTTCATTCAGAACTGGCTAGATCAGGGGGACAGGAAGTTCACTATGGGGGAATTGGGCAGGATTGAGTGCCATGCTTCGCACACCAGATGAGACACCAGCACAAAAGTGTGGCTCCACCCAGGATCTCAAGGAGGTGATTCCAGTTTCATAAAACAGGCCCAGCAAGAGCCTCGAAAGAAAGACAAGGAGTTCAGAAGAAGAAGAAGAAGCATGCTGGGGATCCTGGAGCTGTGGTTCCTTCAAGACCAGTTTGTTTAGTAAAGTGCCATGGACCCCTCTTTCTGCCTGGTTATTGACAATAAAGTATCCTTGGTCCCAGGATCACTATGGCTATTTTATTCTATTTTATTTTATTCTCACATGGCTATTTTATTCTATTTTACTTTGGAAAGAGTGTAGAAAAGAGCAATAATGATGATTAGGGGACTGGAGGCTAACACACATGAAGAACGGTTGCAAGGATTGGGTATGTCTAGTCTAGTGAAAAGAAGAAGTAGGGATAACATGCTAGCAATGTTGCAATATTTTACCACAAGGCTACCACAAGGAAGAGGGGAGTCAACCTATTTTCCAAAGCACCAGAAGGCAAGACAAGAAATAATGGATGGAAACTAATCAAGAAGAGAAGCAATCTAGAACTAAGGAGAAATTTCCTAACAGTGAGAACAATTAATCAATAGAACAGCTTGCTTTCAGAAGTTGTGGGTCCTCCATCACTGGAGGCTTTTAAGAAGAGACATTTGTTTGGAAAGGTATAAAGTCTCCTGCTTAAACGGGGTTGGATTAGAAGACCTCCAAGGTCCCTTCCAACTCTGTTATTCTGTTCTGTTCTATTTTGTCAGTGTTGACTACCTGTCACTAATCTCGGCTTCCCAGACAAGGGGGGGGGAGGATCTGTCTGTTCCTCTGTTCAAGACAGAGAATCTCTCTGTGCAACCCTACTTACATTTAACACAGCTGTAGTTTTCAGACATATTTTATTCATTGTAAATTGCCAGTCTGCTGCAGCCACACGCATTGTAAATCTGAGAAAATATGGGATGCGGATACTTCTGACAAGAAGTTACAACCTGGAATTAAAACAAAGGGAAACTAACATAAATTTACACTGGTACCAGGCACAGAAATTCTCTCGCATTTTCCCTTACCAATTCTAACTCAGTTTGACACGTTCCTTTTTTTTTTTTTAGCAGAAGGTGGGGGCTTTTTCCGTCAATGGGTGTATTTCCTCAGAGATAAAATCCAACGTCAACATCTTAGAAAGAAGGCTATGACCTGAAATATGTTTGGATAGGATGGAAGGGAGAATGTGGAGGAGAAATTCTTCGGAAGGTCGGAGAGAGATGGAACAGTTGGGATTATGCAACAGGCACAGTTAGCAGGAATTGGGTGAATGAGGTCCAAGTAATAAATTCTTAGGTTAGCAAAAGGCTCAGGAGAGGAACATCAAAGTGCTCGTCAAAATCCATAAAAGGAGTTATACAGGCATGACATTCTGACTGCCTTGTCTCTAGGAATTATAATTCAGTTTGGTGCCCTCATTTGGTTTCTACTTCTGCCCTAATATGAAGTGGCCAGCTTAGCAAGACTGTGATCAGAGCTGTGGAAAAGGAATACAGGTAGACCCCAACTTATGACTGAAATGGAGCATGCCCATCAATATTATAATTTGTAACGATTGTAAAACAGGTCACCCAAATAACTGACCTGATTTTTCAACATTTTCTGCAGCAATCATTAACTGAAAAGCACAGATGTAAAGCAAGCAAGTAGTTAAGCAAATTCCACAGTTGTTAAATTAACCAATGGTTCCTTACGGGCTGTTTATAATGCCAGTTTTCTGCAAAACTGTCGTAAAACATCTCATAACTGCAAATGGCCATAAATGCTGAAGCCCAACATATGGCCACGTGACCAGGAGAAGGGGGTTCAGCCATCATAACTTCAGAACTGATTTGTAAGCATCCCGGGAGAGGTCTATTGAAACATCAGTCATAGGACTATTGTTTTTTCTCTCCGTCATCCCTCCAACTTGCTTTCTTTTTGTCTCTCCAGAGATTGCTCCAGGATCAGGGGTGGGGAACCATGGCTCTTTTATGATTTGTGAACTTCAACTCCCAGAATTCCTGAGCCAGCCAGCTCAGGAATTCTGGGAGTTTAAGTCCACAAGTCATAAAAGGGCCATGTTTCCCTATTGCTGCTCCAGGATGGACTCATTGTTATTGAAGAGCCAAAAATGACCTGGCTAAATGCACTCACTTTTTAGTCGCGCGTGTGTGTTTGTGTGTGTGTTTGTGTATTCTATGCGTATACCTTCTTTTCTAGCTCAGGTCCAGAACGGCCATTTCAGCTGGCTAAATGCTTGGGGAAACGGTGGTGTTTTGGACATAAGAGCTGCTTCTTTTAACCCAGGATACGTTTTTTTCCAGTCCTTACGCCATTCACTAGGGATAACTATTTAGTACATGGCTTGTGAGGTTCAGCTGCTTGAAATTAGCAGGGCAGATGGGGAAAGAGAATTCCTGCTGTGGGGTGGTGGCCTACTTTAGTTCTGGCCCTGCAACAGAAGCAGCTGGCAGGATGTTTGCCTCAGCTCATTCGCTAGAGGCAGGAAGACTAAGCTGTGCTGTTGTGTCAACCTGGACTTGATGCTATTTCGTCATTTTTGTCCAAAGAGCTCCAGTTAATGTAGAGCAGTGGTTCTCAATCTTTTTAATGCCGCGACCCCCAACTGGTTGTACGTTGAGGACTACTCAACCGGTCGTAAGTCGAGGACTACTCAACTGGTGCAGCACCATTTGCAGAATGGGACTTTTGGCAGGCTCAGCAGGGCAGAGACAGCCTGGACAATTCCTATTGGCTTTTGAAAGCCAATAGAATTAGAATCTATTCAAGAGAGTCTATTCTATTGGCTTTCAAAAGCCAATAGAATAAAAGGGAGTAGCACAGCTAAGGAAAAGGGGGGGGGGAATGGTGGACTGCATTGTTTGGTGACCCCTGTGAAATGGTCGTTCGACCCCAAATGGGGTCCCAATCCACAGCTTGAGAACCACTGATGTAGAGGAAAGACCTCAGTTCCTGGATTACATTAGTGCAGGTAAGCAATTGCTGTTTTGGGGGGCAATAAAAAGGGTACACAACTGATGGCCAGACAGGAGATCTGGGGATTAAGTCTATTTGCCTTCTCATTTATTCTGCGTCTTTTATCCCTGTTTCTCAAATCCTCCCTGGCATACTTACTTGGCCTTCCAATCCATCTAATAATTTGCAGTTGTAAGATTTAATGTGACAATAAGTTGGAGGTGGGAGATGGAATTAAAGCTGCCACAGTTAATTCATATTTAGTGAAATGAGAATCAAAACCAGTACAAGTACCCCTTGATTTACAACAGTGCGCTTAGTGATTGTTCAAAGTTACAACAGCACTGAAAAAAGTGACTTATGACTGTTTTTCATCTTAGGATCACGGCGGCGGCCCCATGTTCACGTGATCAAAATTCAGACGCTTGACAACTGACTCATATTTAGGACAGTTGCAGTGTCTGGGCAGGTCATGTGATCCCCTGACAAGCAAAGTCAATGGGGAAGCCAGATCCTTATAACAACCGTGTTACTAATTTAACTACTGCAGTGATTCACTTAACAACTGTGGCAAGAAAGGCTGTAAAATGGGGCAAAATTCACTTAACAAATATCTCACTTAGCAAGAGAAATATTAGCCTCAATTATGATTGTAAGTCAAGGACTAACTGTATGCATTTTCTATTTTTTTTCCTTTTGGCAGCCTCATACCATTGGCTCAGGGTTACCTTGTGATCCACAAGCATACCCAGGTCCTTTTCACAAATCCTACTGCTCAATATGGTGTTCCTCATGCTATTATCCCGATCTGCTGCTATTATCTGCTATTATCCCGATCCCGATCAATTTTTAACGTATCCACCATAATGTCTTTTATATTTCTTCTTTATATTCTTACCCAAATGTGTTCAACATTTGCTGTATGCTCAAATTCCTGAATCATAATCTGTGGAGGAACAGCTAATACCTTATATCCATGGTGGCGAACCTATGGCACGCGTGACATAGGTGGCATGCAGAGCCCTCTCTGTGGGCACGCACGCCATCACCCCAATCCTAGGGCTTCAGCTGGGTTTTATAAAACCTTTTTGCTTTAGGCCTCTGCTGCCATGTGCAAAAAAAAAAAAAGGTTTAATCAATCAATTTCAACTTCTCATGGAGAAAAAAAAATCTCACTAAGTTGGAATTGATTGATTGAACTTTTTAGTCCCATCCAGTCTGCCGTTACCACTGCAGCACACCCACCCAATGGGCCACACCTATCCAATGGGCCATGCCCACCTGGTACCTGACGATACATAAGTGGGTTTTGGGTTGCAGTTTGGGCACTCGGTCTCTAAAAGGTTCGCCATCACTGCCTTATATAACAATGGAGAATGCAAAAAAGAAGAAGCAGGTGATAGTTGGAGAATGAGGTCACTACTAAAGAAAGTGGATAAAAATGTTTAAGCAAAGTGTATATTGCAGTGATTGTAAGTTAATGGTGCTTAACAGAGAGTCCCAAGCTAGTTGGTAAGGAGCAAGCCGGTCTTTGCAATAGCAGAATAAAAGATGTGCCATCTGTGCTGAACGTTCATAGGATAGTCATATATATTAACAGTTATCAAAATCAGGAAGCATAATGAGGTCTAATTAACAAAGCAGGGGGTCTTCTTCAACTAAGAATAATTCAGCATTCGTGCATTCCTGCAAGATATATTTAACCATCTATCCAAACTTGCAGAAGCTCTCGTATCTCAGATCTCTTTGGTTACATATGTCCAAGTCTGAGATAGAGTAGTGTTTCTTAACTTTAGCGACTTGAAGATGTGTGGACTTCAATTCCCAGAATTCCCCAGCCAGCACAGCTGGCTGGGGAATTCTGGGAACTGAAGTCCACACATCTTCAAGCTGTTAACATTGAGAAACACTGAGATGGAGCACAAGAATTCACAAATCCACAAATTAAATATTTAGTTTATAAAAACATGGGGCCATACAGATAGTCCTCAACTTAAAAACAATTGTTTAATGACCGCTCCGAGTTACAACAGCACTGAAAAAAAGTGGCATGACCGTTTTTTACACAAACAACCAGTGCGGCATCCCCATGATCACGTGATCAAAATTTGGGCGCTTGGCAACTGGCGTCTATTTGTAATACTTGCAGTGTGTCAGGGTCATATGTCATCTCCATGTGTAACTTTCCCAGCTGGGTGCCGACGAGCAAAGTCAACGGGGGAAGCCCGATTCCCTTAA